AAAATTTTGTCGTATTTCAGTAATTTTTCGATGCAATTTATTTGTTAAAAAAAGCTGCTAAAAATCTGCCATATTTCGGTACCATTTTGTCATTAATTTTACAGAAATTTATGATATAAAACAATATAAAAGATGCTTTTTAGACCGAAAAAAGACGATAGCCCTTTAAAGTAAAACAATTTCAGTACGTTATTCCTGTAAGGGTAGCTTAACGTTTAACTATCAGTTAATTGTTGCCGACGAGGGGTCACACTATTTTAAAATACTTTTATAAATATAATAGTAAAGGTCATGTATGTTTTCCCCTGGGGTCGCAATGTCTTTTAACATTGAGATTATTTAGCGTGCGCACCTCGCACATAGGCCTTATCATACGTTTAGATTCTCAATTTAGGAGCGACTCACCTCTGCGCACGGAAAATTTTCTTCTTCCGTGAGGTTCGGTGTAGAAGCCCGCAAATCCACAGACTAATCAAACAGACATGTCAGAATGTCTATTTGATTAGTCTGTGGATTCTTCTGCCGCTTGCCCCTCCGGAGGGGGTGACATCGTGCACTCAACCGTGTGCCGCGCGAAAAGGGATACCCAAGGTGACTGAAATGCATCAGCCTGGTCTCCCACGCACTCCCTAGACAGAGAAGGCGACTCTAGCTCCCAGAGTATTGAGGCTGTCCAGCGTAAGAACTTCAGATTCGCACCGGCCGCGGCTTTCGTTAAAGTGGAATTGCTTACCACCCCCTAGAGGAACTGCCTTCATGTAGGCACCACCGACCACTATCCGTTCCCATCCGCCACTTCTTACGCATTCGAGGGACTCCGTCAGCATAGTCTGAGCGTCTTCACCGCTATTCGCTTCGATGGTCCGATCCTTCGTATCCCGTGAGGCCGGAGTTGTAAGAAAGGTCATACGCAAGTGCTTAGGCGGAGATCACAGATAGAAGAACAGCCTCTTCTCTAAGTTCCCGTCAGGATCATCGCCACTAAGCCACTACGAGTCCGTTTTTATGTAGCAAGGTTGGACTTGGAACATTTTCTGCTATCTCGTTGTACAGATGGTTATGCACTCTTCCCGTCTATGCAGATAGGATTTGGTACCCTAACCATCGTGTGCCTCTGATAAAGCACCCGCCGTCCACTGCCGACCGGGAGGCCGACACGAATTAAGCTTGTGCTTTAGAGAGGCTGCCAAGCCCTCAAGGCTGAACCTCTTTTGCGCCTGGATAACCCCCCCCCCTTGCACCCAAGGGTTGGGAGAGGTCTCAAGGAACTCAAGGAAGTATGCCGAAGGACCTCGATTGAGAAAGGGAAGTGACCGAGGACACGAGTCTCACGTTTTCATGCTGCACCCCCTGCCCCGGCCAGACAGTACCACCCATTGTCATTAGTTCCATATTAACTGGGCTATGTCTCCCCTGGGAGAAAAAAAAAGTAAAATAGTAATGGTCAGATGTTACCATCTTTACTCATGGGTGTTGAGATCCATGAGGATCTTTAACGTCCGGACTTATCCTCGAGGGGAGTTTTCAGACGCCCAGTGCTCTCAAGAAGAACGCAGAAAGATTTTACATACGTGGACTTAAATTCCTTGGCTAGCGAGGTGGTGCAACGCTCAATTATTAGAGCCGCCTGGATCCTCTACTCCCGTGTTTCAGTATAATTTTTAAGATGGGACTGAACGCCCACCCGGGAGTTCATACGAACCCCCAACTGACCCGTTGCCTGAGGGGTGCGGGTAGTAACCCAGGAAGCCTCTGCCAAAGCACAAGGGGGAAGGGTTGAAAACGGAAAGGGGTAAGGAAGGATAGGGAAGGTAATAGGGAATTTTGCCTCCATCATTGGTTACCCCAGGCACCAGGGTTGATGGTCGGACTTTGCCTTGGCCCTGAAGAAAGGTGTCCTGTGGGTAGAATAGTAAAGGTCAATACTCTCTCCGCTGTTGTAGACAATTTTTACTTCTGATATGCCCACAAATGAGATTGCATTTACCGCCGCTATACGCAGATGACACCGCCGTATTAACAAGTCATCCCCCTTCTACACAAGCTTCACTTATGTTACAAAACAATATATCAACAATTGAAAAAAATGGAACAATCTTTAGAAATAAACCCCTCAGACACAACATATCACCTTTACACTCTGCCGTTGCCACTTCTCCTAGTATATACTTATACAATGAACCTGTTGTTCAATCCGACAAAGTTAACTATTTAGGACTTACGTTTGATAGAAGACTTACTTGGAATCCACACAGACAATTCAAAAACAGACACTGAACCAACGATTTAAGTTGTTTCATTACCTACTCAACCGACAATCAAATTACCATTAAAATCGAAATTTTCGACATACATATATCTACTAAAACATATTTGGATATACGGATGCCGAGCTTATGTATCGGCCAAATATTCCAGTATTGAAAGATTACTAAGTTTTCAATCCACTATTTTAAGACTAATTGTTTCTGCCCCTTTTTGCGTAAACAATAACCCACATACTCCATTCCCCCTAATGACTACTTAAACGATTGAACGGAATGTGGATAAGAAACCTCTTAAATGATTAATATCATTTTATTAATCAAGAACGGCTGCCAATAGGTAGCTTTCTGTATAACGCCCGTAATGCAACAATCATAAATTGAAATCCAATCTGGTTGTAGATAAACAAATGAAGAATATATAATAATCCATTAAAAAGTCTTGAGCTATGGCGGGATTTGAACCCCTAACCGCAAGCGTGGCACATACGTCTTGGTCGCCAATCGATCACCGTGCCCCATAATCGTTTTAAGTTGGTTATGAGTATTGTATTTTACAATAGTCTTTTATAATGAAAAATGGCACTGTGCAGTCTGATATGTAACCTTCATTCTGAGAATTTCATAGAGATTGAGTAGAAAAATGTAGCAATGTGTCTTTTGAAAAAAGTCACTCTCAATTCGGCGTGAGTGGGCGTGTAATCAAATTGTATTACTGTTATGTTACGAAACACGTGTATCCAATTTGTTTCCAGAGGTATCGGTGAAAACGCTCAAAACGTTGTGTTTTCCTCCTTCCGGAATAAAAGTTAGCCTAAATGAAATTTCATATCATGTTGTATTTTTTACGTTTTATCTCCAAAGGGAAAAAAAACGAGCCGGCACGGAGAACCGCAGTAATTTAATAAACCGACTTTAAGATTGAGGTCTCGACATTTTTATCAAGAGTAAAAGATAACATTCCACCCCTTCGCCGTGCCTTATGGGCAGAGGAAATTGCAGGATTTACAAATAGGGCTATTGTCAGTTTCACATAAGGGTGGATATTGTGTTCGGAAATATATTACTACATTTTCCACCCCCTCGGCCTTCTAAGTTATTTGTGCCCGAATAGTCATTCTACCTTTTCTTATTCGGATGATCAAAGACTGCACATATAACCAGAGGGTGATGCCCCGCCCCTTGAAAAACGAGGACTCCGGTGAATACTGGGATAGAATCTTTTAATAAAAGCTTCCTTGAACGTACATCACCTTTTATTTAAACGCAATTTATTGTTTAAAATAATTAACATGTAAAAACTTGAATTCATAAATTCTAATAAGAATTTATTATATATTCTATAAAAACGTACAGTTCGATCAAACGTTAGTACACTTTCTATAATAAAAATATTTGATTTGACTTATATAGTAATTTAGTTGACGTATATCTCTGGTCCGTTTCTTCTCGCTAGAGATCGTTTTAAAGAAATAATGAGAAACCCAGTGGTGTTTGCCTTTTTTAAAATTATAAAATCAGGAGTGTCTGGAAATTCAGATTAAACCGTAATCAAGTTATTAACAGGACATTTACTTTTGTAATTGTGTAATTCATGAAATTGCAGAAATAAACAGAAATAATACGAAGTATTGACTTTTTATCATTTTTAAAGATCTAATGTTAAAACAAAAATCAAATAAATTCCTCAACATATCATCAGGAAAACAAAAGACTACTTTCTTTCTCAGTAGGGGATTGGAGGAAACGAACTAACCGAAAAACTAGAAAAAAATGGATTGAGGAAAATTGCAAACATACTGGATGAATTGATCAGGTGCAAAACAAAATTTTTCCATAGGGGATTAAAGGAACAGAATTACAGAGTAGCAAAGATGGAGGTGGCTGGCAGATTGGTACACCCCAACCCATGCTAAAAGAGGAACTGACCTAAGTTATCCAAAAAAATGATGACATACTAGATAAATTCGCCACGTGGAAAACAAAGGTTCTCAACATCTCCACCTTGAAAATACGAGCCTAACTCTTTTTCAATAAGGGATGAAAAGAATAGGATAACAAAGTAGCAAAGAATTAGGTGCCTGGCAGTACACCTCAAAGTAAGCTAAAAGAGGAATGAACTAATTTATACAAAAAAAATGATCACTCACTAGGTGAATTGACCAGGTGCAAAACAAAGTTCCTCAACATCTCTACCTGGAAAATACGAGCCTAACTCTTTTTCAGTAGGGGATTAAAGGAACAGAATTACTAAGTAGTAAAGAAGGAGGTGCCTGGCAGATTGGTACACCCCAACGCATGCTAAAAGAGGAACTGAACTAATTTATACAGAAAAAAATGATTACACACTAGATAAATTCACCAGGTGTAAAACAATCAAAGAAATTCCTTAACAACTCAACCTCATTGCCGATTTAATTACATCAGTAATGGGATAACTGAGACTGAAGCATGCCAACTCTGTCACGAAAAGGCAGAAACATTGGATCAGGCCCTTTGTGACTGGAAGCTTTGGCCAGGAAACCGTACAACCTCTTTGGTACAACCGTACGCCTAAAGAAATAAGCGAAAAGAAACCCCGGAATGTGCTAAGCTGCCTTAAGAGTAGTGCACTTTTCGATGTTTGGACGTAAAGAAGAGTCAATTCCACAATAGATCATTTAGGTTCCCACAAAAGGAAAAAACGTTAATGTTTCGAACTAAAATAATAACACATTGATCTTATAAATCATATGTTTATGTTGTAATTTCAATAGTCGATTTACGTTTTTCTTTTTTCTTTACAAATGCGAAAGTGTTTTTAATTGGTTCAACGATACTGATCGTCGTTCTTCTTCGGCCTTTGGCTTCAAAGTGGGCGTGTATTTCTTCAAGGGTTTTCCCTTTGGTATCGTACATCTTGATGTAGTAAAAACAGCTAAAGGTGAGCATGGACGTGTAAACGGTGTAAATCACGAAGCATATGTGATTTACCTTGAATGCCATGTATAATTTGATGTTGAGGATTATCAGGAAAAGCTGGCTCAGTTGGAGTAGTATCATCGCCTTGGCTTTTATGTTGACAGGAAACATTTCACTGACGAGAATGGAAGGTATGTAAAGCGTTCCGAGGGCGTTGGACGCTATTTCACCTGTTATGCTGACCAAAGGGACCCAGTTGGCTTTGCCAAGATCGGCCGAAGTCAGCTCGCTTAGGACAAACCAGACGGTCGTGGTCATGCAGAAAATGCAAGACCCGGCCGCAGATATGATCAGGAGTTTCCTCCTCCCGATTCGGTCCACAGTGTTACCCGAGATCAACACGCAAATCAGCGAAATGCAGTAGAAGAGAATGCGCATATACTCCGATTTGGTAATAGCGTCGGGAAAGATGTAAGCTGCGTAGGCGTAAACCGGAAGTACTCCTGAGACCCTCTGAAACATAATGAGAGTCAACGCGAAGGAGAAAGCGCTGCGCGACAAAGGGTATTTAAAGATATCGATGTACCTAGAATTTAATGACATCTGTTCCTTCACAGTCACCACGGTCTTTTGGAACTCGTCGCTATTCGTTCCTCGGAACCAGTAAAATCTTCTTCGCGCATCATCGATCCTGCCCTTTCTTATCAAAAAATATGGCGATTCAGGGACAAGCTGAAGAGAGATGAAGTGGAAGGTTCCAACGCTCATGTTCAACAGAGCGAGCCGGAAGTAGCTCAGGTAAATTGCCATTACGGATTCAAGTATGGCACCGGCCATGAATTGAATCGTGACGAACGAGACGACCAAACCTCGCCTCGCTGGGACGGCCACTTCCGCCAGGTACGGCGTCGTGCTCATTATGCTCGTGCTTAGCCATACCCCGAGCATAAATCGACCTACGTATGAACCGTACCTGTTCTCAGAGAAGTAAATTATGAGCCACCCGGCAACGATGAAAGTAATGCCGAACTGGAGCATTCTCCTTTTCCCAAACGCCTTCTCGCCGTAACCGTACGGCATCGTTGCAACGGCCTGGCCGAAGTAGAAAATGGCCACAGCTATCGCAGCCTGAGTCATCGTCATCGTCATCACCGCTTCGCTCCTCACTTTTGCGAAAGATGCCCCCGTCCAAGACACAGCCATACCAGAGATGAATCCGTTGTTAATCACTGAAAAGAAGATATAAACAAATATAACAACTTTTTATTTCATAAAATTATCAGAACGTACCTATAATCAAGGCCAATTTGGAACCGATTGGCCCCGTCAGCACTTTGTCCATAATATGCCAACAAGAAACCAATAACTGATGTTTGTAAAAAGCACTTTAGTTTAAATATTTTTAGTTGTATTCACATATGGCCATTTAATTGCGCTACTCAATTTAGTTTTATAAACAAACACATATAATCTATCATTCATCTATTAGCCAATTTTAATTTTGTAATAATTTTACAATTATATTCAAGTACACTTCACTAAAGCTCTCCGTGGCCATTTCATTTGTCGTCGAGAATCCAACCCGATTACACGACATTTGAAAAATTGCAAAAAGGGGGAAAAATTCATAAGGTGGGGTTGAGATAGGAAGTTGATGTCCGAGAAGATCGAGGTCACGATAGCTCAAGTGGTAGAGCAGCGGCGTATCTAGCCGAAGATCGTGGGTTCGAATCCCGCTCGTGCCATTAACTTTTTTTCATCTCAATTAAAAACCTTAATTAATTGTTTTGATCTTTATTGAGATCATCTTCAGGGCCTTGTGTTATCTGCATTTCAACAAAAAAGTTCTCTGATTGATAGCCGATGCGAATTTCTTCTCATTGTTGGCGATATCCAATTTTATGTTTATGAAACAAGATTTGTTTTTAAGAAAATTAAAAGAAAGGTTGATTGAAAATTAACAAAGCTGTACTTGTTTAAAGTTTTACTCGTGAAATGTCATGATTATTATTCTTTTCCCAAACCTTGTTAAAAAAAATCTTATTTCAAGGTTTAAAAAATCGTATATATGCTTTGGCATTGTAATATTGTGATTGCAATGATTCAGAGATTGTAACGGTCGCTAAGAATTTCGGAAATCGTTGTTCGGCATCTTTGTTTACCTTTTTTTCGAAATATTTCAAACCAACTACGAATATTTGCCCTGCTTACAGAATGAATGATGGGGGAAAATATAACGTCCAAATATTTGTATTCATTCACCACCTCTAAATTCTCACCATTGAAAACGAAAGAATCCGCTGTAGCTTTATATGTTACCTTTAGCAATTGTTTTCTGTATATTTATCCCAAAAAAAGCTAAGATTTTCGGTAAAGTTTTATCACAGTACATTCTTACAAAATTTCAATGAATCATAGTTTAAATTACTGTGTAGTGAATATTCGGAAATCTTTTTACAAACACACTTTAATTAGTAAACAATAATTATTCAGAAATCGTGAGATGCGGTCTGGTGTGACGTAGGTTTAAAAAAAACATTTTCTTTATCGTGCCAACGTTTCGATCTTAATTGAGATCATCTTCAGGGCATGAGATTTATAAACATTGTTTAAATTTTACAAATACATGTGGGATGTGAAAAAAATGAATTTATACAATGTTTATAACTCCCAGGCCTTCCCTTCTTTAAAAGTTATTGTTATTTCAGTCGAATATATTCATCTGCCATTTGAAACTGGGCAGAATCCCCTTCCGGCTAGGACGTGTGCATTTGAGTGCATTTTCAAATCAGACAAGGAATCGAATTGAAATATTTATTGTGCTATTTGCTACAGTGTCATCTCTGAGAACATTAACTGGGAAATGCCCTTATCTGACATTGGGATTGCCGTCGGCGTACCCGGTGACACACTATTCAATGGTATTAACGCTATTTATGGTTTGAGCAACGCCAGCATAAATTGACTTCCCTTTCAGCGGTGGCGAGTGTTCGAAGATTGCATCGGCGGTAAATCGAGTCGGACGTCTTTTAACATTGATTTTTCAGCTTTTCATCGAAATGAGCCGAGAATGGACGGCTTGAGACACAATTCTAAAACGGGTTACAAATTATTTGGTTTAGGGGTTGGACCTCAGTGACTTTTTATGTCAACAATACAGTCCAGATTATAATAATCCATTTCAATTAAACCAGCAAATGTGGAAATATCATTTCTAATCGACTTAAATTTTACCTAAGACACAGACACGCAACACAATAGAAAATATTAAGTCTCTAGTGTGGCTGTCCAGTTTATTATCACCATGAAAAGGGGAAAATTTAGTCAGAATTCTGCAGACTTTGCCATGAATATTGTGTGACTGCAAAGCATTAGCCCTAAAACATTACCGGCATTTCGGACAAGCGAAATTAACGCCTAGGGAAATTAGTGAATTGGCATCAAGGAAGGTGCTTAAAAAGCTTCGGATAGTTAGACAGTCACCAATGATACCGTAAGGAAAATAAATAGAGAAGAACTATATCAACTTGATAAGGTTATGTTAAAAAAAAAATCCAACGCGAGTGAGATTTAAGTTTAACAAAATATAGAGTCTGTCGAGAAAAATATCTTTCGTCATTTTTTCCCAAATATACACAACATTTTGTAGAGTAATTCAGACAATAAAGGGCGGAAATTTTTTCACAAAAGAAACGCCAGAGAGTCGAGGTAATCGTCGGATCGTTTTAAAACTTTCCCAGATGTGTGAGCGATTTCTGGAAAAGCCCGCCGTGCCGATTTCGGATTCAAGTCAGGGCCTTTCTTGCTTTTAAGTTGAGATCCAACATTTTTGCATAAATCATCTTCCCTCGTGGCCCTGCTGTAAAAGTCTCTCCTGGAAGCGTTGCCGAATCTTTCGCTTCCGGCGAGATATGAAAATTACCGCCATGCCAGGAATATCAAAGAGCCGTTGGGCCAAAGGACGACTTTTTAAAATTATTGCCAAAAGACAAGTGAAAACGTCCACCCCCACCTAAGTTTCTCGGCTGTATTTGCATATTTAACCCGTTGGAACAGACTCGATCCGTCCTAATTGATAATCGGTTGACTACATCGGAATTAATCAACGCTGGGATTTCCTGTCCGAACGGAAACGGGTACGGGACCCTTTGTGACTTGAGACAGGCTCATCTTACCGACCGGCCACAACAAAGGCCAGACTGACATCATAGGCAATTCCCATATAAATTAATGCGCCCCTTGGAATCTATTTAGCTCCACCTAAATTACCTTGGCTCAAAGACAAATTTGATCTCAGTAAATTTTTAACTTCACATGGTAAAAGTTAAGATGACACTGACGAAAATCACTTTAAGAGATTGGAGTTCGATTGTATTCTACAAAATGTAAATATTATGCGCGGATTTTAAAAATTGGTGTTTGTACATGTTTATAAAACATATTACTGTATGTTCCATAGGTTTCAAATACGATAATGTCCAGATTTTATTTGGATACATGTAGTTTCACATATATAAATATAAAGGATGTCAATTTACCAATATTCTCTTGGCTTTGTCTAAAACTACTCAACTAGAACAAAATTAAACTTTTTTAAAATCATAAACTCTACTCTTAAATATTAAAATAATTACGTTTTTCCTTTCATTTGTATAAAAAAGTTAAAAAATTAAATTTTCTTTCTTCAAACAGTAACCTAGATATGTAGATTTGTAGATTCATCAAGTCAATAAGATTTTTATGAAAAATTGTACAAACTGTTTGAAAATGGGTTCACACGGAAGTGATTTCTACTTAACCTAGAAATTTTTTTTAATGCTAAGCTCTAATCTTAAACATTACTATAATTACTTTTTTACCCTGTTCTTAAATATTACAATAATTAGGTTTTTCTTTCAATTATATAAAAAAGTTAAAAAATGAAATTTTCTTTCTTCAAATAGTAACCTAGATGTGTATCCATTTGTAGATTCATCAACTCAATCAGATTTTTATGAACAATTGCAAAAACTGTTTGAAAATGGGTTCACCCAGACGTAATTTCTTTTTATTAGTTTTTCCCCGGATGTGCTCAAAAACTACATAACCTAGAAATTTTTTTATGCTATGCTTTAATCTTAAACATTACAATAATTACTTTTTACCCTACTCTTAAATATTACAATAATTACGTTTTTCCTTTCATTTATATAAAAAAGTTAAAAAATGAAATTTTCTTTCTTCAAATAGTAACGTAGATATGTATCCATTTATAGATTCATCAAGGCACACAGATTTTTATCAAAAATTGCAAAAACTATTTGAAAATCGGTTCATACAGACGCTTAGATATAACAGATCTCTACTTACTAGTTTTTCCTCTGATGTGCTCGAAACCTACTTAACCTAGAAAAAAAGTTTTGGTTTTATGCTAAGCTCGAATCTTAAACATTACAATAATTGCTTTTTTACTCTAATATTAAACATCAAAATAATTACATTTTACTTTCATATAAAAGTTAAATAATTAAATTTTCTTTCTATAAATAGTAACCTAGATATGTATCCTTTTGTAGATATATCAAGTCAATCAGATCTTTATGAAAAATTACAAAAACTATTTGAAAATCGGTTCATACAGACGCTTAGATATTACAGATTTCTACTTACTAGTTTTTCCTCTGATGTGCTCCAAACCTACTTAACCTAGAAAAAAAGTTTTTGTTTTATGCTAAGCTCTAATCTTAAAATTACAATAATTACTTTTTTACCCTACTCTTAAATATTACAATAATTACGTTTTTCTTTTCATTTATGAAAAAAAGTTAAAAAATGTAATTTTCTTTCTTCAAAGTAGTAAGATTCATCAAGTCAATAAGATTTTTATGAAAAATTGTACAAACTGTTTGAAAATGGGTTCACACCGACGTAATTTCTACTTATTAGTTTTTCCCCGATGTGCTCAAAAACTACGTAACCTGGAAATTTTTTTTATGCTATGCTTTAATCTTAAACATTACAATAATTACTTTTTACTCTACTCTTAAATATTACAATAATTACGTTTTTCCTTTCATTTATATAAAGTTAAAAGTTAAAAAATAAAATTTTCTTTCTTCAAATAGTAACGTAGATATGTACCCATTTATAGATTCATCAAGGCAAACAGATTTTTATCAAAAATTGCAAAAACTATTTGAAAATCGGTTCATACAGACGCTTAGATACAACAGATTTCTACTTACTAGTTTTTCCCCTGATGTGCTCAAAAACTACTTAACGTAGAAATTTTTTTTTATGCTAAGCTCTAATCTTAAACATTCCAAAAATTACTTTTTTACCCTACTCTTAAATATTAAAATAATTAGGTTTTTCCTTTCATTTATATAAAAAAGTTAAAAAATGAAATTTT